ACACACACACACGTGTGCGTGCAACTGAGCGGTCCAAGCCACATACCCTTGCATGTTTTTACACGTGTGCATGTGTGCTTGCTTCTCTCTCTCTCTCTCTCTCTCTCTCTCACACACACACACACACACACACACACACACACACACACACACACACACAACCCATGGGCATGTGTTCTCCTTGCTCAGTGTGATCGTTATCTCTCTCTTTTATGTCACCATTACTGTTTCCCCCCAAATTGAAGCCGCCGTCATGTTCAAGTGTATTCGGAGAAACTTTCAGGTATTTTTTTCCTATTATAAAACTTGCATCAACCGTTAGGGCTATGTTCCCCGCGCCCCCACAGTAGTCAATGGGTTGTCGTGCGTGTATCAAGGCGCCGTTAATTTCTGTGGTGGGCGACCACTCAAAATGGGGTACAATTGGAGTTGTGGGGTGACTGGTCCTTTCCCATTTTTGCAGAGGACCGATAACTATTTGATTGCCCTACAGGTTAATGGAAGGCAAAATATTCGGTGTTTTTCGCCGTGTCGCTACAAGCAATGTTGTCGAAACTTTTGCGAACAAACCATGCAGGGTCATAATACAAACTACAAAAAAACAAACAGGAAAAGAAAAAACAAAAAAAACAAACTCAAGAGCACTATAAAACCCTATTCAGAGTAGCTTTCGGAGTTCGCCAAATCTTTCTTCGAGTCCAGTGTTTTTGTTAAGTTTTTCATTACTGGTCCAAATGCGGTGAAATTGAATACAGATATACCCTAAAGCACATACGTATCAAGCAAAAAGAAAAACCAAGAGAAAAGTAAAAATTCAGGAAAATATGGCAGTTTTGGTGAAAATTTTGCCAAAATTCGCGGAAATTTGGGCCTTCCATTAACCGCTTCTCTTTGGTAATCAAAATAATTATTGAAAAAATATGAGAAATTTGTGGGACGCAGATTGAGTAATGATATATCCCGAACATTAAAAAAAAGATGGAAAACTACGGCACAATCGGGTTTCGAGTTTGAAAATGCACTTCTGGCAAAAGCTATAAAACCGCGTGTTTTCCGGTCAGTAATTGACCGGATTGAACGCGCGTTCATAGAAAGCGCATGCACGCAGAGTTCAATTCTGCGGTTGGGTGCGTAGGGGCGATGGGGGGAGGGTGCACTCTGGAGAATAGGTCGCAGGGGTCTGGGGGGAGCGCTGACACTCAACGGCCTAAAAAGACCAAAAAAAAAACGAGGAAAAAAAGGGAAAGAAAAAAAGAAAAGAAAAGAAAAATACGGCAGATGAAAGTGACCAGTGGCAGTAGGCGTTCTTGGAGAGAGAGAGAGAGAGAGAGAGATCCACCACGTGGCAGTGCACGAGGAACGCAATAACGAGCGCGCGCAAAGGGGTGCGAGCGAGAGAGAGAAAGGGAGAGAGCTGTGCAAAAGAGAGAGAGAGAGAGAGAGAGAGAGAGAGAGAGAGAGAGAGAGAGAGAGAGAGAGAGAGAGAGAGAGAGAGAGAGAACGGGAGTTACTAGGTGTGCGTAGGGGTGAGTGACGTGGGGTGAAATACACGTAGGGGTGAGAACTGAGTGGTGGTTGGTGATGGCGTGTTCGCGGGAACTTAGGAGTTCATGCGTGGCTTGCTACTGTTCAAGCGGGCAGTGAGTGTGTAAGCCAGGTGGTGGCGAAGCTGAGATCGGCTGCTGCTGAAAGGAAAGTACCGTCAATCTCGTGGATCCACAGTATGCGGCGGTGTTTGCTGGAGGTAACATGGGGGTTGGAGGAGCGGCCGGCCCCCCACCTGGATGCTATTACAGGCTCTCCACGACTGGACGACTTGATGCGGCACTACTACGACGAGCTTGAGGAGGGGCAACTTGAAGGTCTTTGCGCTATGCTGGAGGACCGCTACATGATGACGATGACGACACCACGGAAGACGCCAACAGCATCAACCCCAACATCGACTGCAAAGACAATGACAATCTCACCTGTTTCGCCGTCGATCTCAACAACAACAACAACAACAACAATGACAAAAGCAACAAGCAACGACAACGACAGCAACGACAACAACAACGTCAGCAACAACATCGGCAACGCCGACAAAAATAACAACATCAACAACAACAACACCAACAATAATAATAACGGCGACGACTGTGATCTTCGTGATGATGGCGATGACTTGCGCATCCAAGTCGTTCAGGTCGTCGCCACCGATAATAACGACCATTTTGCCGGCTGTGATGTCAACATTTACAACAGAGATTCGGATGGGAGTGGTCGCTGGGTGCAGCGGGCTCCTTCCACGACTTTTGTCACATTCAGTGGAGGTTGGCCTTTTGGGGAGGGGATCACTCTCGGCTTGTTCATGAGCTGTTCGTGCCGGCGAGGTAGCATTGCGCTCCTTCAGTGGGATGCGGGTGGGAGGGTCGCAGGGTAGGGCAGCGGCCTCATTTACCCATCTGTGCTATCTAGAGGGGGGCACTATAATTGGCATATCATCTGACTTGACTGCCTTCTCTGATTTAGTATCTCAAGAGCTATCCAGGGTAGGTAATGACTTTGTAATGATTTTGGGATCCGCTATAATTGACTTTCTAACTTTCTAACTTCCTATTCTGAATGCCTCTCCTCCTCATGGCGCTGCAAGGGTTTGTTGGCAGCTGATGAGGGTTTCAGAGTAGGGATTTGATTTGGACTATGGTGGGCAATCGATGCTGCTCATCAGTCAATGGAGCGTGCCTACGTGTCGCTTTAGGTGACCACTCATGTTTTTAGTACGATGGACACGTGGCATGTCAACTTGAGCCCTGTTTGTTTACAGACCACTCAA